AAAGCAAAGATTAAAAATTAACATTGGATCACAAACGCATATTGAGTCTATGAAGTAGGCGGAGTGAACGGCAGGTTCATACAAGGCAAGTGTAGGACCAGGGGAACTGAAGAACGAAAGTGCTGGCTGGCTGTGTTACGTATTCATTTGTTTGCTTGAGTTACATTGGACCAAACCCGAACCTCATGCTTGCAGACGACTCAGTTGACGTCGTGGAAAAATTGCTTAGTTGTATACGTTCTGGTGGCCTAGATGGAGATTACTCAAATAGAAAGGCCAGAATGTCTTAATCATTTCGTGACATATATGTCACCGACGTGAAGTCAGTTGGTAAAGGCTGCTTCCAGATGATCTAGCGAGTCCTTGTCTACATTTAGCGGACGAGTTGAAATCGTGTAGTTCAAACACCGGTGCCCTCCAAATGGATGTAGGCGCTGCAAACCAGTGATCGTTGGACTGGCACCTTCTTCTGAATGATGAAAGGTGCTTTCATATGACATTTGAAGAAGACTCAGCGGATGCCTTTGTCATGCATAGTGAGAAAGCACCAGAAAACATCACGGAAATAGATACCAAGAGGATTTGGGTATCTGGGTCTCCTCGAGCTTGTCCTTCTCACTGCATCATGACGAATCGACCTAAAAGGCGTTCGCCATTTTGCGGATGATTCGGCGCACCCTCTCCCGTATTACTCGCATGACTTTCCAAATACGTCAAACCGCTTCTTGAATATGCCAACTAAGTTGTCTACTCAGGACGCACGGAAGACGTAGCCCTTATTAAGCGTGTCCAGCGAGTTGCTACTCAGCTGCCTTTTATGCGCGCACACTGAAGCAAGCGGTGAGGAGGTAGCTGTCGCTCGTACGCTAGATTTTCTCAGTAGTCATAAAAAAATTCAGTGTACATTCATTTTTCACACCTAATCAGTAACCTTCAAGATGTTGTAGCTTTCAAGAATTCCATTCTACTTTGCGAATACTGAGAGGCATCAAATTCTGTCAGATCGTCGTTTAGTTGAACTTAATTGCCTCAGTAGGTTTCGAATATCCTGAGCTAATCTCCAGAAATCTGACTTTTGTGACATGAGTAGAATCTGAAGCTTTTCTTGTTAATCTTTTGAAGAAAATTAGAAAGTTACCAGGCACAGCCGACCCTAGAAAACTCGAATTTGTTATTCTCGAATAATTTGGTAAACTCGCGCATTCCCCGGAAAGCATTAGGGAATCCCCAATAATTATCTTCAAAATGTGATGACATTTGTTTGCCTCATCCGCATATCTCAATTAGTACGTGCACCACTGTGGAAACTGATGTAGTCCGTATATTGCCGTTACAGCCACCCGTTATTTCTCAGTGCTTCTTTAGTTACTGAACACCCGTTTATTATCGAGGTCAGAAGGAAGAATCGATAAAAGTATCATGGTACTAGAATGCGCAACGTCAGTGTGGTCAAAAGACTTAAAGGTGTTATCGTGGACGCAATATCATCCCTTGAGTTCTGCACAGCGACGGATGTGCTTTGCGGAGTGGGTTGTAAGCGCTCAGCTGTAGCACCCTTCCGGTGCCTAGCTGCCATGCCACCCGAAGGAAGCACGAGGGCTAGGATACTGCCAGGTTGCCCAAGCCTAGACAGGGGAAGTCGAGTGGCGGAGGTCGGATTCGAACCACGAACCTTCCGGTCAATAAATTCGCACTCTAACCAACTTGGGCCACTCGCCCAAAGTAAAGTCACGTGTGTATGTCTTACCGATCATGAGTGATTTTTAGCAGCGAGATTTCCTTTGGCATTTGGTCAGTCCGTCAAAAAGTGTCAGGTGATCTATCACCACAGTTTATTCTGTGTGCCTTCAACCTGCAAGGCGGTTTGCGCCTATTTTCATTATCCCCTTCAAGCAGTTTGTGCATGAGCTGCGTGTTGTGAGAATCGTAGCACTTGATAACTGCAAATAGAAGGAATTTTTGGCTACGTTTCGGTTCCCCAAAGTTGGGTATTCTTCTTCCTGAATGATAACGGTTCTATAACAAACACTTCGCGCTTTATCCGTGTGTTATCCACTCAGGGTTGCGGCAAGTGATGCTTGGAGTTTTGAAAGCCGCAAATCTGTGGCTCTCCAGGGTAGCGAAAATACACGGTAATAGAATGTGACTTCCTGGCGCTAGGCGCTTCAGAGTAGCGGAGGGTATGAATCGGGGGATTTAATTCCAGAAGGCTCGAGTTTATCCTTCTCAAGCCTGTATATCAAGCATTCTGCGAGTACATTCGGTGTGTTCCGGCAACGTGCGTTATATCAGGCTCAAGTAAACGGTATCGTTTTCTCCAGCGAACGGCACAAAATACATCATGTGAGGCTACGGTCACCTCGCACATCGCTTCTGTCACTCGTGCCTGTATATCATTCTGCGAGTACATTCGGTGTGTTCCGGCAACGTGCGTTATATCAGGCTCAAGTAAACGGTATCGTTTTCTCCAGCGAGCGAACCAAAATACATCATGTGAGGCTACGGTCACCTCGCACATCGCTTCTGTCACTCGTCGACATATATATATATATATATATATATATATATATATATATATATATATATATATATATATATATATATATATATATATATATATATATATATATATATATATATATATATATATATATATATATATATATATATATATATATATATATATATATATATATATATATATATATATATATATATATATATATATATATATATATATATATATATATATATATATATATATATATATATATATATATATATATATATATATATATATATATATATATATATATATATATATATATATATATATATATGTCGACGAGTGACAGAAGCGATGTGCGAGGTGACCGTAGCCTCACATGATGTATTTTGTGCCGTTCGCTGGAGAAAACGATACCGTTTACTTGAGCCTGATATAACGCACGTTGCCGGAACACACCGAATGTACTCGCAGAATGCTTGATATACAGGCTTGAGAAGGATAAACTCGAGCCTTCTGGAATTAAATCCCCCGATTCATACCCTCCGCTACTCTGAAGCGCCTAGCGCCAGGAAGTCACATTCTATTACCGTGTATTTTCGCTACCCTGGAGAGCCACAGATTTGCGGCTTTCAAAACTCCAAGCATCACTTGCCGCAACCCTGAGTGGATAACACACGGATAAAGCGCGAAGTGTTTGTTATAGAACCGTTATCATTCAGGAAGAAGAATACCCAACTTTGGGGAGCCGAAACGTAGCCAAAAATTCCTTCTATTTGCAGTTATCAAGTGCTACGATTCTCACAACACGCAGCTCATGCACAAACTGCTTGAAGGGGATAATGAAAATAGGCGCAAACCGCCTTGCAGGTTGAAGGCACACAGAATAAACTGTGGTGATAGATCACCTGACACTTTTTGACGGACTGACCAAATGCCAAAGGAAATCTCGCTGCTAAAAATCACTCATGATCGGTAAGACATACACACGTGACTTTACTTTGGGCGAGATGGCCCAAGTGGTTAGAGTGCGAATTTATTGACCGGAAGGTTCGTGGTTCGAATCCGACCTCCGCCACTCGACTTCCCCTGTCTAGGCTTGGGCAACCTGGCAGTATCCTAGCCCTCGTGCTTCCTTCGGGTGGCATGGCAGCTAGGCACCGGAAGGGTGCTACAGCTGAGCGCTTACAACCCACTCCGCAAAGCACATCCGTCGCTGTGCAGAACTCAAGGGATGATATTGCGTCCACGATAACACCTTTAAGTCTTTTGACCACACTGACGTTGCGCATTCTAGTACCATGATACTTTTATCGATTCTTCCTTCTGACCTCGATAATAAACGGGTGTTCAGTAACTAAAGAAGCACTGAGAAATAACGGGTGGCTGTAACGGCAATATACGGACTACATCAGTTTCCACAGTGGTGCACGTACTAATTGAGATATGCGGATGAGGCAAACAAATGTCATCACATTTTGAAGATAATTATTGGGGATTCCCTAATGCTTTCCGGGGAATGCGCGAGTTTACCAAATTATTCGAGAATAACAAATTCGAGTTTTATAGGGTCGGCTGTGCCTGGTAACTTTCTAATTTTCTTCAAAAGATTAACAAGATAAGCTTCAGATTCTACTCATGTCACAAAAGTCAGATTTCTGGAGATTAGCTCAGGATATTCGAAACCTACTGAGGCAATTAAGTTCAACTAAACGACGATCTGA